TCCATCCATCAGTCCATCCATCCATCAGTCCATCCATCAGTCCATCCATCAGTCCATCCATCAGTCCATCCATCTTTACCCACTTCTTCCTTTTTGACTCATGAGGCTCACTGCGTGCCTATATCCAGCAGTCACTGTGCGTGAGACGGGGGACACCTGGTCTCCAGTCCATCACAGGGACACCCTGGACAGGTCTCCAGTCCATAAGACTGAGCCCGTCGTTTTCTTCTTTCGTGAGCCAACTCTAGCCTCCATCTTTACTTAAAGTTTATTTGTAAAGGTTGTAGGGTTGTTTTTTATAGTACCGTCAGTTGGCACTGAAGTTTAAGCTGTCGTCTTGGTCGTGACCAGCAGGTCGCAATCATCAGCTGTCCAGAAGACGGGAGAAAAAAGATTTTTTGAAGAAGTGTTTTTTTCTACACACTTTTCAGCACGATGACCTCGACCTCTCAGCACAGACTCGGAGGTGACCTTGGAGTACCAGCTGCACATGCAGCTCCTCTCTGAGAGGAAAACGACTGATGGCTCAACGTTAACATTAGCAGTGATAAACACGAGTTCCCTCATTCAGTCCGCTTTATTTCTGCAGGTTGGTCTCAGAGAGACCTGCTTTAAACGTGAACAAGGTTTAAACTTGTTCAGACTAATGTGGGAGTGATGGACAGCCTTTCTGTCATAATGTTGGTAGATCGCTCTGATCCAACAAGAACACAGACTTCCTGCTGCTTCTCAGGAGGAAGATCTTCAACTTAAACCTCAACAAATCTAAGCTTTGCTGTGATAATTTGAGATTATGTTCACTGAGGTTTGATGTCTCTTTAAAACATTAATTAAAGGGGTTATACCTGCTTTTTAAATGGAATAAGAATCATTTTGGTCGGTCGTGATTACATTAAAACAAATCTGATGAGATCTTGTTTAAAAGTGAGCAGTGTGACGAAGCAGAGGCTCTAATTAATCTAACGATGTGTGTGTGTCTTTAGGTCATGGCTCTGTGGACGACATGCTGGATGCTGAGAACAAACGAATCACCAACAATTTGGCCACCAAGGTCTCCAGACTGAAATCTGTACGTGAAAACCCACAAGAGTTCTCTTGGTTTATCAGAGTCATAGTTAAACGCTTCTCGCTCAACGCCTTTCATATGAGAGCTGAAACCACCTTCTGCTGAGGAGGCAGAGTTAGAACCTTTGACGTTATGCTCCATCTCACTGAGTATGGTGAGACAGATCAGCTCCATCTCACGGAGTATGGTGAGAC